CCTCACTCCATTGAATTGGTGTTGGATGCCTCAGAGCTCATCTCGGCGACCTCCAGACACAGGGGACGTGGTCCCCGGAGGAGGTGAAGTTGCACATGAACATCAAAGAGCTCTGAGCAGTCCGGCTGGCGTACAGAGTCTTCCTGCCCCACCTGTCGGGCAAGGTGGTATGAGTCCTGACAGACAACACAGCCTCGATGTTCTACATCTGCAGGCAAAGGGGAGCGTGCTCGTTGGCTCTCTGTCAAGAGGAACTCAAAATCCATCTGGAAGCTTATCACCTTCCCGTTGTCAAGAATATGCTGGCAGACCAGCTCAGCAGGGATTTCTCTCACCACGAGTGGTCGTTCCATCCAGAGTTAGCCTGCATGATCTTCCAAAGGTGGGGAACTTCCCAAGTGGACCCGTTTGCCACCAGACAGAACAAGAAATGCCACCGGTTCTGTTCTTGGCAAGGTCTGAGCAAAGGCTCCCTCTCCGAAGCCTTTCTCCTGCATGTGACATTCCCCTCTGGTGTTGTCTAGACTGGTGATCTGCTAGGTCACTCCAGTCCTTGCTTATGTTTTATTTATTTTGGTAACTAACTCTGACTTTTTGCCTGTCACTTAAAATCTACCTTTTATAGTCAATACATTTGTTTAACTGTTTATCTTTACCAGTAAGGTAGTATGAAGTGTGTGGCAAATCTACTCAGGTTTCGCAAAGGCTGTTGTATATCCACTTTCCATTGATGAAGTGGTGAACCAATTGATAAATCTGCACTGCCTGTCTTGAGCAGTGCAAGATGGTATATTCCTGAGGTACAGTGCTAGGAGCTGGGGGGGATTGGGCTCTGGTGCCTTTCTCTGTGTGATTCATGGGTGGCTCTGGGAGCATTCATGCAATCTAGCTGAGTGTGGGGTCTCCACATGCTGTTGTGCTGAGTGATGATAGCACCTGGAGGGGTATGCTGCTGGTCACTAGCAAGGCATTGTGAGAGACAGCCCAGGACGGAGAGAGTTAAGGGGTGGTCCCACAGTCCCAGGCTGCACGCCAGGGATCCCATCAGAGGATGTCTAAAGCAATGGTTCTCAACTAGGGATACGCGTATCCTTGGGCGTACACAGAGGTCTTCCAGGGGGTACATCAACTCATCTAGATATTTGCCTAAAGAAGTCAGTTCAAACTAAAATTTTGTACAGACAATGACTTGTTCTATATAACATACATTGATATGTAAATACAATATTTGTATTCCAATTGATTTATTTTATAATTATGTGGTAAAAAGGAGAAAGTAAGCAATTTTTTCAGTAATAGTATGCTGTTACACTTGTATTTTTGTGTGTGGTTTTTAAGCAAGTAGTTTTTAAGTGAGGTGTAATTTGGGGGTATGCAAGACAAATCAGACTCCTGAAAGGGGTATAGTAGTCTGGAAAGCTTCAGAGCCACTGATCTAAAGCAAAATTGCAGTGATCATGATATCAGCAAGTCACACGCAATTAATAGAAACCAGACTTCTGGGTTCACTTTTAGCCATAAACTTAAACTGGGCTTTTTAAATGCATTAGCAGGGGAGATCTCCCCATCCCTGTATTTTTATATGAAGAAAAATAAACTTTTTCTACCTATTATTTTGGATTGGAATGCTTGCGTGGTTAAAGTATGGTTGCCTGAAGCAGACCATATTACTCTTTCTAGGTAACCCAGAGTCCTTGTTCATTTAATACGCTTATTGATTCCCCTAATTTTTTGGGAAACCAACCAGACTTGAGCTATCTGAAAAGAAGATCTTGTGCTTTGAGGAAAACCACATATCTTAGCTGGATATCTCAGCTCTACACAAAGTTATTATCTCCACCTATGTTTCCCATTTTTCTTTGAGACCAGGGCCGGCTCCAGGCACCAGCCGAGTAAGCTGGTGCTTGGGGCGGGAGATTGAACGAGGCGGCATTCCACCCAATCTTAGGACCAGCTGCACGGCCGCTTTTTTTTTTTAGTGTGTGTTCCGCTCTGGCTGCCCTGTAGGGGGCAGCGCAGAGGATAGGAGCGCCCTGCAGCAAGTCCGGCAGGGCAGCCCGCGTCCTTCCCTCCCAGCCTACGGGAGCAGCGCGGAGCCCCCCAGCAGGGGGCGGGGCCAGAGGGGCCAAGTGGCAGCGCCCCACATAAGCCCTGGCCGCCCCCCTTCTTTCTCTCCCTCCGCTCCCTCCCCCTCCCCCGCATCTGCAGCGCAGGGAGTCCCCCTGCACCGAGTCTGCGGCCACGCCGCAGGGTTTTTTTTTGTTTTTTGCTTTGCCGTTTTTTGTCGCCCCTGGGTTGTGGTGTTTTTTTGGTGTTTTTTTTTGCTGGGGCAGCAATAAAGCCAGAGCCGGTCCTGTTTGAGACCACAGTCAGATTTCTCACCCATACTCCAAAACGACAAATACTGTAATACACACTAACAAAAGAGAAAAGATCGCTGTAAACCTTAGGAAAATTGCATTATTGGCACTTCCTCAAGAAAAAGAAAAAACCTCTTTCATCTACAACCGAGGACATACCCACTGATTTTATTTATAGAGAGTAATTAATTTCTCTCTATAAATTAAAGAGTGAATTTGAAGACACAAGTTGATTGTGTGTTTGAATTTAATAATACATAACATAATGAATGTATTAGTCTAATAACTCAGTTGAAGTTTTATTTAGGTACAACAATCAAGCAGTTCTTAATAGTGCACTATACATAATATAGAAATGAAACATACGTTCCAATCTGAGGCTGGGAAAATGATGGGCTGCTCACTTCACTAATAACTAACTTCCCCACACTCATCTCTTATACAGTGGTTTAGAAAAGAGAAAGTCCTTTCTCATACTTTGATTTTATTTTGAATCAATAAGACAGTAACATTTATAACTAATTTATCACTACAGGGACCATCTGTGATCAGAATTACTTCTTAATTCTTAGACATTAATTAATACATTAATCATTTGCTGTTACATTGATTATAGAACACACTTGCTATACCAAATGTTCCTGGTTCATTTGATCAATTACTAATCTTATCAATTACA